GATGAAATAATTGTTTTTGAAGATGTAAATGATGACAAAAAATTCATCTACTTGAAAAGAGAAGTTGTAACCATTGCTAAAAAAACTTATCATCATCATTACATTTTACCCTTTATTATCACCATTGTCATGAAAAAAGTTTCTTACTTGTATATCACTTGATTGTCACTCACTCGAAAGTGATTTCGATTAAAGTTTTTGTCTAACACCAGGCGAAGCCAAATAGAAAGCCTCTCTCATTTTAAACTGATCAACGATCAAAGTGATTGAAGGAAATATCGATTAATTTGACTTTGAGAGATATTATTTTGAATATTATTGTCACTGAAATCATTTTCGAATCGAATAAGAACATCACAAATGAGTCATAGCACACCAATGATACGAGAAAGATTTCATGACATACAATTTGAAATTACTTGAACTCTAATCGAAATGCAAAGTCAAATTCAAGACGAATACTTGCGCTTGCAATCCTACACTTTGTAGGACATTTGACAAACTATCAGTACACAATTGACATTTTAATATGATCGATAAAGTTTGTCGTCGCACTTTTTAATCCTACATTTATTAGCTTTTTGTCTTCCTCCGAGTGCATAAATATCAATAGCTAGTGATAAGAATAATTTTTTTTGTATGCTTTTGAGTTCGTTTTCGTTTCAAATGAGAATATAAAGCGTTGCATTGCCACAAGATTTAATACTTATCTCTTTATTTGTGCAAGCTCTTTACTGACATTTTAGTCATTTTCAAACAAAAGGTGATTTTTTTTCTCTTTTATTGTGGATTAACAGATCGAAGACGATTCAATTCTATTAGACAGCAGCTCTAACAGACTCGTTCTCGGATGTATTGGCTTTTTCAGTCTATGCTGTCAGTTGGTTTTCTTTTTTATCGCAGTCTTTACTTCTTACTATGCCATTTCAAGAGCTCAAACCTGGTCCAAGAAACCAATCAACAAGCCTTTCAAAATACGCACTCGAAGAAAAGGAAGGATCTGTACGAATTGTTCACAGACGCTGTGTTAGCTACTGTGAAAAAAGCAGGGAACAACAATGGAAAGAAGCGAGTTATGTGACTTTTACAGAATTATGCTTGAGTCCATGAGACTATAAAAAATTCTCAGTTTAAAGATTTCATAGATTCTCATAATCTTCCAAAATTGAAAATTCTTTGTTTTTTTCTTGATACATATTTATAATGGTATTATGTGCGATAATCACAGAAACAGAGAATATTTTTATAGGCCGGGCAAAATCGACGTAATAAAAGTTCTAACCTGTGTAGAAACTCAATATGCATATATATACGTTATCTGTCATTAAAGGATTAAAATATAATGAGGTCTACCGGTATGTCTCATCGCCTCAAATATATTCACATTTTGATTTGTTTGATTCGTTCTAATTCGTACTTTAGTCTCTTATTTATTCATCCTTTTCGTCCGATGTTTCGTTCGACGTTCGTCACGACTCTTATAGTCGCTGCTGATTCATATAGAACATGCGAACAAACATTAATCCTGGCCGTTACAGTTGTGAAGAATATCAATTTAAATGATGGAGAAAGAGGATGAATAAATAATAGACTGGATTACGAGGGAGAGCGAATAAAACAGATCAAAATGTTATATACTCAAAAAGAAATTTTCATTTGCCTCAAGATACTCGAAGTGTTTATCGAAAGCTTGCATAAATAAAAACATTGTTTGAGAGATTTTCTAAATGTTTACATCAGTGCTTTGGTTAATATTCTTATTTGCAGTCATTACTGGTCTACAGCATAATCTATTAAATACGTCTCGTCCCAATTTTCTTATCATCGTTGCGGATGATCTTGGCTATACAGATATTTCACCCTATGGATCTGAAATATCTACACCCAACCTCGAGTTCCTCGCATCCAATGATGGAACTCTTTTTACCGACTTTCACACAGCTTCAGCATGTTCTCCTACACGCTCGATGTTGCTCAGTGGAACTGATCATCATCTAGCTGGTATTGGACAAATGAGTGATACTATACAACATTATCAAGAAATTTGGGGTGGAAAACAAGGATATGAAGGATATTTAAACAAACGAGTTGCCGCTCTTCCAGAAATCCTCAAAGACATAGGTGGATATCGTACAATGATGACTGGAAAATGGCATTTAGGATTGACAAAGGAGCGGTTTCCATCGAAGCGAGGTTTCGAAAAGAGTTTTGCACTGCTACGAGGTGCTGGCAATCATTTCAATTATGAACTTGGAACAACAGAAGAGGAGACAGTATTTGCCTTAAAACCTTCCTTATATGCACGAGATGACGAATTTGTTAATCATACAACTCTGCCCATGGACTATTATTCATCAGATTATTTCACATCGGAACTGATTCGATTTCTCGACGAAGATGATGAACGTCCGTTCTTTGCCTATCTTGCTTTTACTGCTCCACATTGGCCTTTACAAGCCCCGAATGAGTTGATCAAGAAGTACAAAGGACGATATGACGCAGGACCAGATGCGTTGCGTGCTGCTCGACTTGAAAGTCAACGACGATTGGGCTTGCTCCCTCCTGATGTCGTTTCTTCAACGTTGTCGACAATCGAGAAATTATGGGCCTCAATGTCTGACGAAGAACGAGCGTTCTCGGCAAAAACAATGGAAATCTACGCAGCCATGGTTGACCGCATGGATTATAATATCGGTCGCTTAGTCAACTATCTCCAGCGAACGAATCAATTCGACAATACATTTATTCTTTTCATGTCCGACAATGGAGCAGAAGGAGCTGTTCTCGAGGCACTTCCACTTCAATCGATTGATAATAGTGTCGTATACTTTGATAATTCCTATGAAAATATTGGTACAAAAACTTCCTATATTTGGTATGGTCCACAATGGGCACATGCAGCAATGGCGCCATATCGAATGACGAAAGGACACATTACAGAAGGCGGAATTCGATGTCCGGCCATTGTGCATTATAGTCCATTGACGTCAACATCAGGACGAGTATCACATGAATTTTGTACTGTCATGGATATTCTACCTACCATACTTGAATTAGCCGGTGTAGCACATCCGGGCACAACGTTCCAAGGTCGACAAGTTCTTTTACCCCGTGGAAAGTCTTGGGTATCGCATCTTCGCTGGCATCAACCAATTCATGATGAGTGTCAAGATTTCACTGGTTGGGAACTCTTCGGTGAACGAGCAATTCGTCGTGGAAACTATAAAGCTGTCTATATTCCTAAAGAACCACTTTCTGAGAAGACTTTATGGGAGTTGTATGATTTGACAAAGGACAAAGGTGAATTGAAAGATTTGGCAGAAGACAAACCGGAAGTGTTAAAAGAACTGATTGATTTATGGTCCAAGTATGAAAATGAAACTGGTGTGATCGTAGCACCGGATTCTTATGAACTTAGCTACAAAGGTCCTCAAAGGAAAAAATAGTGGTTTCATACAACTTTTATTCCATCTCAAAAAGAAAAGAATGTTGTTACACTCTGTAGTGGATTGAAGATAAAAGATTACATGTATTAGAATTTTGCATGATCACGACTTTCTGTCGTTGCAACCGACTAGCATACAAAAGAAGCAAATGTGTCTGTCTTTGTATTCACTCACTGGAAGTTTTACCATAGTTCCCGCAGAGAAAATAATTGAGCTTGTTGTGAAGAAAAAGTGTGATAAGAGGATATTTACGAACTTTTTCAGCAATTTTCTGATCTCATACAATTTCATCATTCTCGCTTTAGACATTTACATTTTACGATTGGATTGGTATTTTTATTACGTATACTTTACAGAATTCTTCAGAGGTCTATTTTTCTGAATTTTTTGCTTGTCCAAGATCGTTTGTCATCTTGATCATTATCGGTGCTATTCTGAACCATCAGCGCAGGAATAATTCGTCAAGCTGAAAATGATGAGCTTAGAGAACAAGAGCAACTGATCTCCCGATATTTTGAATTTACAACAAGAGTCTCATCAGAATTTCACCATAATGACTCTTAAACAGGATAGGGTTCCTTGAAATTGAGATTTTTTATTTTCCTCTAAAACACTAGTCGTCGTTGCCACGACTTTTTTGCATCAAGAATGCTGTTATTCATTTGTTTTATCAGTAAATTTGTTGATCTCAATATTGCTTCGTCACTTTGCCATGTCTGACTAAAATTGTTTCAATTTAGTTTCGTAGTTAGCTGTTGATTACATTGATGATATGCATTGCTCTAGGTGTATGTAGGTCAAGTTCTATTTTTCACATTCAATTTGATGTAATTGTCAGATATTCGCCGCAAAAACACACATTGCAGTGAAATGTTTCAGACGGCGACAAAAACAGAATGAGCAAAGAATATGTAGATTTGGATATGATAAATTGCCCATGAGGACTACTATCCACACTCTATGCATCAATATTTGCTTTTTATGGCATGATTTACATTCACCTTTCGAGATGCTTATCCTTAGCTGGAATTCTTAAGGTCACCTTTTATTATTCACTGTAGAAGGTGAATAATTTTATTGAGCACTATCTATCCAAATATCGAATGGCTTAACAACTGATAACATTGTAAAAAGCCAATAAACATAGACCATACTCACATTATCATTTTATGAGTCTTCAAGATGTCAAATAGGAACTAATTTGTTGATTGACATTTACAGCAAAAAGATAAGAATTCCTTCTCTTCGTATCTGTATACATGATTACTCTTTCGTTGCAAAATATTCCTGTACAAGAAACTTGTTCTTCTAAGGAGACACAACAAAACAAAACGTAACATAATGCAGTATTATTGTGTAATTCTATTTATATTCACTTATGTATCACAATGTCAAACAGATCAAATAAATATAGTTTCATCGAGAACAAAATCAATCAAAGAACGCATGTGTGTAGTCAATTGTTCGTTTACAATCTCGTTTAATGATCAATGGAACATACCATCAACTTGTAATCGAGTGAAAACAAATGTTACATGTGCAATTTTGATTACAATGGATTTTACTCGACGTCAAATCGATATTTTACTTACTGGCGATGTTCAACTCGATGTTGATGATAATTTTAATAGTATTATCATACAAACTTTACAATTTAGGTTTCTTAACCAATCGATTCGACATTTTGTCGAATATTTGTGTGCTGCCGAAGATGATTGTGATTGGTTATATGCAAAACAAAAAGTTCCACCTCTTTTAAACATCGATTATAGACCACTTTATAAAGCTTTAGAACCATTATTGTACGACTCAACATCAAGTACGCATGTTGCGAAATGCTATCAAAATGATATGCTCATTGATTGTCTAGAAGGCATGTGCTCATATTTACCATTAGATACATCTGGTACTCCATCGATCAGTCGTTCTTGTTTACGATATAATCAGTCTGAACTTGGTATTGCTATTGAACGACGACGAATCGATCCAGGTCCATCGACATACGATTTGGACGTGTTCGAATTTCGATGCAATAAAGATCAATGCAATGGACCGACAAATGAAAATGATCTTAAACGTGTAGTTCAATCAAATAATGATTGGATAATTCAAACTGAAAACGATTCTTCATCTTTAAAAATGGCCTACAACTATGTAATACTATTTTTTATACTGATAATTAGCTACAAACATTTCGAATAGAAGTTTATTTCAACTAATGGGTTTATTTTATGGAATTTCAGATTCATTTTTTTTTACTTTAATAATTCTCTTATAGTTCTTTAGTAAGCAGGACTACGGTATAGTTTTTCAGTGGAATCTATCCGCTTTTATATTGTGTTCTCAAAATGAGTAAAACACTTGCTTATTGAAATCATCAAATGCATAGAATAAAGTTGAGGCATTGAAATATAGGAAACATTGAAGAAGAATTTCGTTGAGTAAGAACTCGAGTTTCATGGTGGCCTTCTCGTCGGTTACAATAGACACGGTGCTGACTCTGACAATTAGATAAGAGACGAACAGTACTGGCAGTCTACAGACAGGTGAACCATTCAAAACAAGATGATTATTCTCTAAAACAAAATGTTGAAGTCAAACTACAACTCAAGATTATTTGTTGTCTCGATTATTTTATAGGCTTGTAAACGTTTCAAAGAGAAAAATAAGAATGAATATAAACGTTGTACATAGACATAGAGGCATCTTATTCGAGTAAATTGAATTTGCAGAAAGAGAGAGTTCGAAACTTTTTTTACAAATATAGTGCCGAATATAGCTATGAAACAAAAATTTGTATCCTACTGTATATCTATAAATATTCTTTAGAAGCGAAGAAATACACAACAACAAAAGGGTCAGTTTTTGGTCAACAATTTCAATAAACAGAAAAATTTGTCTCGAAATTCACAATATTTCAAAAGTTATTACCCTTTAGATGATGTCATAGTGTATGTAAGAACTTTTTTATTCAAATTGACACATAATTTTGGCTTAGGGAAAAATTCTAGAAATCTATTTGGCAAATCATACGATCAAGATCTACTCGTTCGATACGTGGTAATTACAGTAGGCCACAAAGAACATTTTCATTTACTGGGTACAATTGATCAAGTGGTCAACGCTAAGAAATTAAAATTTTGTGATGAATATCGACATGTTCTAATGGACGATCAACGGGTCAAACTTGAAAATGGATTTGTTCCATAAAAATGGATTTTATAACAGAATTCAGTCAATCTATTCATCAGTCACTGTGGTTTGGGTTCAATTGTTGAAGGACTTTATTTTGAGAAACCGATACTATGTTTGCCGTTATGCATGGATCAATTTGCAAATGCAATTGCGATCAATTATTTAGGAGTTCGGCAATCGTTATTCGTACCACCATCTCTATTACAGTCATTTATGAATCCTGGTGATTTTCATGATTACACATTTTCTCATAATAGTGTTGTAATGAAACTGTCGACAATTTGGCGAAATATATCGTACGAAAAAGCAGTTCGAATCATGTCCCTTGAAATGAAGCATGCTGAAGGAGTGAGACGAGCCGTTGAAGAAATTGAATTCTTCATAAATATTGAATGGTGATTTAGATCGATATGCACCCTTTCAAAGTACATTACCATTTTATCAGCGATATATGCTCGATTTAGTCATTGTTTATATTGTTTTGCCAGTAACAATCGTAGTTTACATATTCGATAAGTGTTGCAAACGAAGTCGTAAGAAAAAAGTAGATTGATGTTAAATAAAAAGATTGCATTCAAGTTTGTGCACATTTTTATTTGCTAAATGAAAAGTAGTAATGTTATGGATGTGGGCGTTGTTGGAGAATGTGTCTTGTTCATTTCTCTACATTACTCCAAGCTCACATTCACACCCGACTATGCAGAACAGAATAAAAACTGAAGATCTGATGTGAGGTCTCGTTTAGGAACCAAATACAGAGGCTTGAATATTTTTTTAAAATTTGAAATGACTTAAACAATCTGTTGATGTAAAAGAATGGTTTTTAACATCTAACTTAATTTTCTGATATCTTTCTACTAGGGATATAAAATAGAGAGCTGCAATGTAGTCACGAGTCACAATTACGTTCCCGTACGAGCATGTCTCTCGTGGTTTCGACTGCTGCAAAAATCGAAGGTTATTGTGAAATTTTTACATTTTTTTTCCATAAAGTTGCGAATAATTGATGAACTGTAGCCAGTTTTCACGATATGGGTGTGAGTGTGAGTGTGAGTGTAGTTAAACTGAAGAATCACATCCATACTCTATTGTAACAATACCAATGGCACCAATACCAATATCAATACTGATGAATACTTTTATTCGAAAAGTATATTGGTATTGTCACATGCCTACGTTGTACAGAACACTTGTTTTTGACTTTGTTTATCTTTTTTTTAGATTGCTACTTTCTTAGATCCAACGACATATCAGTTTTTAAATGACGGAAAGCTACGGAAAGCTGAGCGTTTAATTTTAACAGAATATGATAGTTATCAATCTTTGGAAAGATTGGAAAACGATACTTTGACAACAACTGACGTAGTATCTTCATCAACATCATCACGACATTCAATAACAACATTTCAAGAAATATTTCTCTTGAATTAATTTTTACGTGTTGGTGAAATGTCTTTATCAACCAACTTAAGAAGTATTTCTGTGAAAAAGCAATCACCATTTAAAGGAGAACTGTGCCAATATATGGCTACAGCTTACTCAAGTTCAAGTTTTATTTAGCACGGGAGTTAATAGGAAGGAATACTTCCACAACTTCTATAATATGTTGAACGATACAATTGTATTCCTCCGACAAGTGTACCATATGAAAGTTCATTCAGTATTGCCAGTCATGTTCAGAATCAAACTAGATTATCCATTTGATCAACAGCCTTACTGTATTCGATGATTTTTACATAAATAAACAGAAAATTCATTGTTTTTCATGATGCTTTGTTTTATGTCACGAGTAAAACAATAAAGTCTTATAATTTTTTATAGATTACATAATTATTTCGAAATAAAATATAAAGGAAACATATGAAGAATTGATGTTGCACAAACAGTAAACTTATTACTACATTAATAATGCTATTCATATTCTGTTTGTTAATGTAGCGATTGGCTCGTATCAATTTAGATTAAAAAAAAAGGCACAAATCTTCATACACTGCAATAATGATGTGCAAGTCTATTAACTTAATTGTGTAGTAGGTAGAAAGACGGTAAACAAACTTTATTACTTACTTTTAAAATATATATCTCAGCATCATCGCGATAAACTTAAGTGGAACGAGACTTCGCTTAGCTGGAAGAATTATGATAAAATGTCACTCGTGTTACCCGAAAAAGTAGGCAACCATTGAAAAATTAATAAATCAAAACTACTGGTTTCTCGATTGTATTTTGTTTCATTTTCAGTCACTCAATAGTGTCATTGCTGCGGAATGATAAGGGTGTGGGTTTGAGTCTTCATTTCAACTACACCCATACCTGTTGAAGACACCTGACTTGACTAATCTGAAGCGTCTTCTACACTAATGATGACTGATCTAGTGCTAGAATGTTTCTTCATTACTAATTCAGAATATTACGTAATTTACTAGTAACTCATTTTTCTCATACTAAGTTGTCCAACCAACTAGTTTAAAGGGACCAATAATGAAAAGAAAAAGAATGTAATACAAGGAAAATCTTTCAATATCTATATCACTTGTTGTTGATAAATGATAGATAATCGGATACATTTAGAATATGGCCAAAATAATAAAATAAATATCATGCCGCTAAGTATGTTTTACTAAAAATCAATCAACATTTTAGATATATACATTACAAAAGACGCCTTACAAATTATTTCAAGTTTTAGAATTCAGATCTATCAAAGTCTTTCACTTAATCTTTGTTTCACATACGCATTTCAATTGCCATGTTAAATAATTTAACTTAAAAGTTATACATTTATACTCCAAACAAAATTAAATCTTTATATGTTATGTTGACGATCAATAAGGTTCGTCGAAGAGTGATGATAACCATGCATCTGTGTCTACTGTTTTAAATACAAGTTGTGAGTATCACATGTGTTTATGCTATGGTTTCATATGAAAATATGTCTTTTCTTTCATGTTTGATAATAAAATGCGCTCTACTATATTAAGATTACAGAATTTATCAATAATTACTATATGATTCTTGCATTATATATGAATCTGATTTCGAAAAAATATCATGAACTACTTTTGCAATAATCGATAATGAGGCAGTAATTACAAATAGTGTACATAATGTTCGTTTGAATTTAATACAAACGATGGCTTCTGTTACTGCAAGAAATGTATATCATGAAAAAAGCTATCCACACAAAAATCTTTGTCGGGTCAAATATAATATTTTCAAAAAAGTATTCATCTTTTTTTTTTATTCTAACGACAAATTATGTCATGTAGATTTACTAATTATTTATTCTACATATTTTGAAATAAAATGATGTTGGTGTAATTATTTAACTTTTGAAATAATGATTGAGAGACCAGCAATCATTGTAGCATTGGAAAGACTAATCTTATAGTAAGAATCTTTTGCTATAAAATTTAATTGACGAATTGCTGGGTAGCTGAATCTCATGAAAAAAAAATTTTGTTGTTATTTTTCTGCTCCTTCCAATAGTAAAAATATAGAATCTTGATTTATGTGCAATGCAATGAGCTTAAAAATATCTTTGTTAAAGATTTGTATTGATCTTTCAACAAAGATAATTTGAGCAGTTTATATTTCTCAATCAACATATTTTTCTTATACATAAAATCACGAACTCATCATTTATTTTGTAAATTGACCGAATTCACACTGATCATCAATGGGGAATGACCTTACGTTCAAGTAAACTTTTTTCGACTCTGATTGATTTGTCACATCTCACTAAATTTAGATTTTATATTGATTTTGATCATTGCTACGTTTCAAATACAATAACCAACACTAACTATATACTTCAACAAGCATACAATGTTCGTTTCACTCACATAAGAAAGATATCACGTAGTAGATAACGCTATTCTCGAACAAAATTAACCGTTTCATCAATTTTAATTTATCATTTTTCAGATCATCCCCTCAAAAATCAAGCGTCAGAAATTAAGAATTCTTACAATTTTAGTTTATTTTTTAATAGATCACCCACTTTAGTATTCTAATACAGCTCTTCTTTGGATATGATTCTCGATTTAGCTCTTGGTGATCGCTTTTCATTCATATTCATACTCAATGCTTGACCTTTATCAATCGAAGCGTATCGCAAAACAAATGTGAAGAAGTTTGTCAGGTATTCTACATTCTACTAATTCTTTGCAAAAATATCTAATCGAAGCTTTTTACATATATACTTCTACCATCTAAACTGTTATTAAATAAACTCTATAATAATACTTCAAATACCTACTTTTACACAGAATTCACTCATACATGTAATAATTAAAACTTGAATACAATTAATAAAGTTAATGTCAACTATTCAAGTATTGAATATTTGGAGTGAGCAAAACTCTTTAAGATGGAGAAATTATAAATAAAACACTCAAGGCAAAGGATCGAAAGCAAAACTTCTTGCAGCAGAATCCCTAATGAACGAGCGAGAAGAAAGAAGTGAGGGCAAAACCCATTTTCTGTGTAAGTAACCTTTTATATCGACGTCGTGGCCTGGAGGCATGTAACACCGTCTGAAGAGTCGTGTCTCACATTCGTATCTGTTTACAATTATCACACCATTGGAAAAAACTATTTCATTAATATTAAAAGTATTTAAAAGTTATTTTTCTTCACTTATTTTTACAAGAAGTTTCAAGTATCAAGAAGGAACCCAAAAAGCTAATACTAATATTTTACAATCATTTATTGCCAATGATTAAAGTTAACAGAGGCTTCTGACTAGTCTTATGATATTTCATGGAACACAGGACGACTATTATAACTTTTATTTGGATTTCAAACAGAGATTTTGAAGAGTACTCATCAAATAATTATTTATATGAATGTGAAAACATCTTCTTATGTGCGCATTTATGAAGTTATTTAACAATAGATGAGACCAAATGAAAAGCAGAAACTAATTTGAGTAATTTCTTTTTTCAAAGAGTACTGATTTTCGTTCTTCTAAGCATGAGCCCATATTTTATAAAAAACAGATTAAATCTCGATGACTGTAATATTTTAGAAAGTGAAAAAATTGATAAAATTCTGCAAAAACGGATATTTGCTTTCACTGAATTTTTTATTCAGTCTTGACTGCTATTGAATGCACCTGTGATAGTGCAAACTTTGCTTGTTTCTTTTACTAACTAACTATAACAAGAACATCATTTGACACTCGTACTAACACTTAATAAGTTTTTATATTTCTACCCGTTGTACCTCTTTGATAACTCGTGCTTGACTGTAATGGAAATGTTCGAAAAAAAATGAAAAATACCAAATATCCATTTTTATACTCTATCATTTTTATTAGTTTTGAATTCTCAGTATATTATACTCTTACAATGAGAAATATAAGGTCTAACAAATAGAGATATGTAATAGATTAATGTTATCAAAGCCACATATAAAGCATTGCTACATCAATCGACGAATCATAATACTCCATTCTGTAAGCACGTGTACTTTTCTTCAGAATATCATGTATTTTTGAATGCACCTCACTTATGAATCCTAAACGACCATGAAAAATGATAAAATTCAATTTTGGAAGACCGTTCATAAGTATATGTAATGTTTCAGGAACTTGACTAGTATCACAGTTTAACTCTATGATTTGTAGATGTGGCAATCGCTTCACAATTAAAGAAGCAATGCTTATCATATCTGGATATGTCCAATCCATATAAAGATCTAGCTTTTGTAATCCATTTATCATGAGTATATTGCACACAGTATCATTGAGAAGATCGATTAACTTTTGGTTGTTCGAATCATCGTCAGAGTCATAATCGAAGTGATAATTCAGCTGTAGAGTACGTAAATTAATCATTTTCGATAAGACCAAACGTAGTTGACATAAATCCAATGGATCATCAATTGTGAGCGAAGTAATTTGATGCCAAGAAGCAGTAGTTAGTAAGTAAGAGAAAACTTCGTCGTTCATTTCTGGGGATGTGCCATTCATAATAATCTTATTGATGTATAACAAACGATTCTTCAAGACCGTCATATTAGATGGCGATCGACTTTGCCTAAATTTAGAAACACCATTTGTTATAAGAAAAAAAAAGAAATTTATACATACGCTCGAACAGTATTTTTGTCTCGATAGCTATAAGCACGTAATGATTTGTCAATTCGTGATACCGTTAAAACTCTAATAGAATAACTGTCATCATATAAAGATAAGTCTAGTTCTATTGGCACTCGTCCTTTCATTTATTGAAAAGCATCTAACAAGATGGTGCTTATGTCTAATAGTGACACTGTAGTCTGCACACGCCACCAAACATCTAGCGAATATAAACATTGATCGCAAAACATCGATATCAAATTGCGAAGAGGATGGAGTCCAGTCACCATCCCCACTAATGTGAACCTCGTCAGTGAATATATAATATCATGCTCAAATAATTGAT